GTTACCCGCATTCTGCCATATATTTCATGTTATAGCAGTCTCGGATGATGACCCAGCACATGTTTATTTTAAGAACACTTTCACAGCAGATTTGACAAAACACAAAGGTGGTACCAATGTGAAATTTCTAAAAATAGCTACAGCATTCAACCCAAGGTTTAAAAATCTGAAGTGCCTTCCAAAATCTGAGAGGGACGAGGTGTGGAACCTTCTTTCAGAAGTCTTAAAAGAGCAACACTGATCAGAAACTGCAGAACCCGAACCACCAAAAAAGGAAATCAACCTTCTGCTGGTGGCATCTCACTCAAATGATGAAAATAAACATGCATCAGTCTGCTCTGCTTTGGATTGTTATTGAGCAGAACCAGGCATCAGCATGGATGCATGTCCTCTGGAATGGTGGCTGAAGCATGAAGGGACATATGATTCTTTAGCAGATCTGGCACGTAAATATCTTGCGATGCTGGATACAACACTGCCATGCAAACACCTGTTCTCACTTTCAGGTGACAATGTAAACAAGAAGTGGGCAGCATTATCTTCTGCAAATTGTAACCAAACTTGTTGAGCGACTGGCTGAAGTACGACTGAGTGGACGTGTAGTTTTTACATTGTTTTATTTTTGAATGCAGTTGTTTTTGGTACACAATTCTACATTTGTAAGTTCAACTTTCATGCACAGACTATCAAGGAAGTTTTTGGAAAGTGTAGGGGACAATTTCCTGGTGCAAGTCCCAGAGGAACCAACTAGGGGCAGAGCTCTTCTTGACCTGCTGCTCACAAACCGGGAAGAATTAGTAGGGAAAGCAAAAAGTGGATGGGAACCTGGGAGGCAGTGACCATGAGATGGTCGATTTCAGGATCCTGACACAAGGAAGAAAGGAGCAGCAGCAAAATACGGACCCTGGACTTCAGAAAAGCAGACTGACTCCCTCAGGGAACTGATGGGCAGGATCCCCTGGGAGAATAACATGAGGGGGAAAGGAGTCCAGGAGAGCTGGCTGTATTTTAAAGAATCCTTATTGAGGTTGCAGGAACAAACCATCCCGATGTGTAGAAAGAATAGTAAATATGGCAGGCAACCAGCTTGGCTTAACAGTGAAATCCTTCCTGATCTTAAACACAAAAAAGAAGCTTACAAGAAGTGGAAGATTGAACAAATGACCAGGGAAGAGTATAAAAATATTGCTCAGGCATGCAGGAGTGAAATCAGGAAGGCCAAATCACACTTGGAGTTGCAGCTAGCAAGGGATGTTAAGAGTAACAAAAAGGGTTTCTTCAGGTATGTTAGCAACAAGAAGGTCAAGGAAAGTGTGGGCCCCTTATTGAATGAGGGAGGCAACCTAGTGACAGAGGATGTGGAAAAAGCTAACGTACTCAATGCTTTTTTTGCCTCTGTCTTCACGAACAAGGTCAGCTCCCAGACTACTGCACTGGGCAGCACAGCATGGGGAGGAGGTGACCAGCCCTCTGTGAAGAAAGAAGTGGTTCAGGACTATTTAGAAAAGCTGGACGAGCACAAATCCATGGGGCCGGATGCGCTACATCCGAGGGTGCTAAAGGAGTTGGCGGATGTGATTGCAGAGCCATTGGCCATTATCTTTGAAAACTCATGGCAATCAGAGGAGGTCCTGGATGACTGGAAAAAGGCTAATGTAGTCCCTATCTTTAAAAAAGGGAAGAGGAGGATCCGGGGAACTACAGGCCAGTCCCTGGAAAAATCATGAAGCAGGTCCTCAAGGAATCAATTCTGATGCACTTAGAGGAGAGGAAAACGATCAGGAACAGTCAGCATGGATTCACCAAGGGCAAGTCATGCCTGACTAACCTAATTGCCTTTTATGATGAGATAACTGGGTCTGTGGATGAGGGGAAAGCAGTGGACCTGTAATTCCTTGACTTTAGCAAAGCTTTTGGTATGGTCTCCCACAGTATTCTTGACGGCAAATTAAAGAAGTATGGGCTGGATGAATGGACTATAAGGTGGATAGAAAGCTCACTAGATCGTCGGGCTCAACGGGCAGCGATTAATGACTCCATGTCTAGTTGGCAGCCGGTATCAAGCGGAGTGCCCCAAGGATCAGTCCTGGAGCCGGTTTTGTTCAATATCTTCATTAATGATCTGGAGGATGGTGTAGACTGCACCCTCAGCAAGTTTGCAGATTACACTAAACTGGGAGGAGTGGTAGATATGCTGAAGGGTAGGGATCGGATACAGAGGGACCTAGACAAATTAGAGGATTGGGCCAAAAAAAACCTGATGAAGTTCAACAAGGACAAGTGCAGAATCCTGTAATTAGGACAGAAGAATCCTATGCACTGCTACAGAGTAGGGACCGAGTGGCTAGGCAGCAGTTCTTCAAAAAAGGACCTAAGGGTTACAGTGGACGAGAAGCTGGATACGAGTCGACAGTGTGCCCTTGTTGCCAAGAGGCTAATGGCATTTTGGGCTGTATAAGTAGGGGCATTGCCAGCAGATTGAGGGATGTGATCATTTCCCTCTATTCGGCATTGGTGAGGCTTCATCTGGAGTACTGTGTCTAGTTTTGGGCCCCAC